TTAAACTATGACGTGAGATTGAGGATCCATTATGAGTAAAGAAGATATCATCAAGAATTCCCCCGAAGGAATTCCCATGGACCAATGGGCATTATTTGTTAACTATCATTCGAAACTCGAAACAAAGGTACTTCTTCTTCTTCTTCTTTTGTTGCTGCTTCTTCTTCTTCTCTACTTCTACTGCAACTTCCATTTTTTTTCCTTCTTCATTTTACTTAGAGCAACATAGCCCCTTGTCACTTTCTTAAATTCCTCGCTTTAAATTCATTGGTTATGTGCAAGTATTTAGCTCTTTTATATGTAACTGAAATTCACTTGTTTTAACTCATAGGGGATTTGCTAGAGGAATCAATAAATTTGAGAATAACAGAAAATTCCCCATGCAAAGAAGGAGTTGATGGTGAAAGTGCAAGAAGGGGATGAATTGTAATTTTACTTTTCTTTTTCGAGGTAGTCGACTAGTTTGAGTTCTAGTCAACTGGACTTATCAAGAATAAAATGTAAAAGATAAATTACAGAAAGTAAATGATATAGTATGTTTTTATATTAGTTCAGATTCAGAGTGAATCCTACGTCCAGTCCCTTTGGGTTGCAAGGGTGATCGCTTTCAAATATGAAGTGGCTTACTACAGATGAGTTGATGTTGTTATACACCAACAGTTAATGTCACTCGTTCTTCTCTCTATAATTGATACAATGCCTCACAAGTGTTCTTGTCTCTCTCTTTTCTCTTCTTTGTTACACAAGGAATCTAAAGCAGACTTACAGTATTTTGTTTGAAGTAGAACAAAGAGATTGAACTTGGGTTGATCAAAGTATATCATTCCAAAGCTAGTGCAGTATGTAATTATACTTCTCGAGACCTTCAAGTCTTGTACATCTTTTTGAGAAATTGCGAACTCAAGGGAGTTATATTCAGACGGATTCGTAGATTGATTCTTCTGCTGACTTGTGTTGACTAGCGGGCTTGAGTGATTTTTTTCTTAAATAAGAGAGTATTCCCATTGCCAAATCCCTTGATTGATGCCTTCAATTGACGTCATTATATGGGAGAATCTTTAGCAGATGATTTTGCGCCTGTAATCTCCTTTGATTTAGATCCTTCCTATATTAACTTTTAATTGATTTTGCTATATTCTTTAATTGGTTTATCCGCTTCTCTTTCCTTTTTCGTTGGATTCATTTCCTCCATTTTATTGCTCAGAATCTTTTGCTGCACATAGGGAGTAATTGGTTATTTTACATCAATGAAATTTACAGAGATCTAACAATTCTCCCCATTTTTTATCATGAAAAAATAACAATAAAAATACTTCCCTATTGATCAGCCGCCTTGAGAGTGTTGTAGTCAACTCTACTTTAATCCGCGTTTCTTGGTAGATGTGTCTAGTCGACTCCCCCTCAGTTGGACATTCTATTGTGCCTCAATCCCCTCATTTGTAGTCGACTCCCCTCAGTTGTATACCATATGATATACCTGCAAGTTGAAAACAGAGCACAAAATACAGAACACAAAAGCAGGAAATACATAGAACCGCAGCCTTAAGCTTGCTTACTATTTCTCCCCCTTTGTCATCAACAAAAATAAAATAAAAGCAGGGAAATAAAAAGTATGTGTCCTAAAAGTACACCTAATGACTTAAACATCAGTCGCAAAAACAAGGCAAAGAGAAAATTGTCTTAATAACCAAACATCAGCGACGTAGAAAGTAGGTAAGGGTGTTGCAAACTGCCTCCTTAAGGCGATCAAAGCTAGCATTCACTGTGATGGATACCCCATCAATTCTGTTGCGCATCTCTTTGAAGGCCTTTACTACTTTTTCTGCAGTCTTGAGAATCTGCACTCGAATCTTGGACACATCAGACCTTGTCTCCTTTGCCATTCGATGGATATCTTCAATCTGTCTTTACATAGAGGTTAAGGAGTTCTTAATGACAGACAGTGTTTTATTGATGGAGACAAGATTTTATGAGAGGTCATAATCACTTGTACTAGGGTGAGACACATGAGCATTCGCCTTGGAATCGGAGGGGACATTCTTGGTTTCACCTTCTTGTTTCTTGACCTAGGCACTCTTTACAGAAATATAACCCATGCTAACAAATCCCCTTGAATTGTAAAACTTGGTGAAAATGATGTAGGGATTGTCAACAAGGGATATGTTGTTGGCTTCTAGCAGATGGGTGATAACCATACCACAAGGAAGATTTGTGGGATCATCGGCACTTTCTATCATGAAATTGATGACCCATAAGGACAACTTGACTTGTTCTTGGTTAGAAAGAAGTAAACTAAAAAGGTATCACACTGGGAGAAGGTAAAGAATGATCTTGTTCTTGTAAGAAGAGTGGTTGCTACAATATGTACTAAGACATGAGTTTCAAAACAAACACCATTGGGTCCTAGTTGACTAGGGAGAGAGTCAGAGGGTGATTCAGCTATACACCTTTTAGCTTGATCAAAAGAGATTTCAAAATTCTCAGGCCAAGTATTCTTAAAGAGCATAGAAAAACTAGAACAACTACATTAAAAAATAGTATCAAATAGAGTACAGTACAGAACAATGCGTTTGCCAAAAAATAAGATTTCTAATTTATTAGGTTTGCTAGAGCGAAGATTGGCATAGAACATTCTAAAAAGAGGTTCATATACCTTTGGAGGAGGCAAGGAGAGAAAAATTTTACAATCCTAGAAGTCAAAGAGTTCCTTCACTTTGCAGTTGAGGTTGTCCATGACATTTAAGTCAAAAACTCTGCCATGAGCGACAGGCTTGTCTTTGAAAGCAATGAAGGCATCCTTGTTTGGAGTATCCTAGAAATTTAGGTCAAACTTAAGAGAACTGGAGAGATCAGTTTTAGGCTTTTTGGGAGTGAAGGTTTCAGGAAGGTCTGCCATGGGTCGTTTTCCTAGGGCCTTCTCGTTGAGACTGCAAGAATCATCTGAGAGATCTTGAGAGGAGGCAAAGTCCTCGGAGTGGTCTGATCCTAGATTGACTGGTTCAGGTGGTTGTGAAGAGGTTTTTGCCCTAGAGCGAGTGCTTTTGCGGGTGGAAGCAGAGGGATTGTTGGAGTGATTTGCCATGGTAGGGTTTGGAACAGGGTACTGGAGATCCAAACAATGTGATAGAGACATAATAAGCTTTGAACTTAAAACATGTGATAAACTGTGGTTGAGTACAAACAAAAAGGCGTCAGAGATTTGACGCAATGATTGACCGGTCTCTTGAAGGGCGTGAAAAGGTGTGAAAAAGGAAAAGCAACAGACACACAATTAATGCATCTTACATAATTAAGGAAATGATTAAACTAAGATACAGTAATAATTAAAAAAATCACAAAGACCCTAAAGTTATGAGTTTATGGAAATAATGCCAAGAGAGTCTCGTAATGCACAAAATCTGTCTTCTAGTAAGGATTTTGTAAAAATGTCTGCTAATTGTTTAGTGGAACTTACAAATAGTAATTCTATGTTGACTTTAAGAACATAATCTCTAATAAAATAGTACTTAATATCCATATGCTTAGCTTTAGATTGATGCACAAGATTAGTTGATAGACAAATAGCATTAGAATTATCACTGAATATTTGAACAAGCTTAAAACATAATTCATAGTCACCCAATTGATGAGATATCCATAGCAATTGAGCACATCATTGTCCAATTGCAATGTAGTCTGCTTCAGTTGTGGAAAGAGCTACTGATCCATGTTTCTTACTGTTCCAGGAGATTAGTGCTTTTTCCAGTAATTGACAAGTCCTACTTGTGCTTTTTCTATCCTTCTTGTCACCTGCAAGATCGGCATATGAAAAATCTTCAAGTTTAAAATTGTTAAAGTGAGGATACCAAAGTCCGTAGGAGGTGGTTCCAATGAGATAGTGAATAATTCGCCTTGCTACTGTTAAGTGAGACTCTTTAAGAGCTGACTGAAACCTGGCACATTTACAAATATTGAACATGATATCTAGTCGACTAGCCGTAAGATATAGTAGAGACCCAATCATTCCACGATACTTGGTTTCGTCTACCGATTTTCCATGTTCATCCCTGTTTAAACTTATAGACGGACTCATGGGAGTTCCGATTGATTTGGCATTGCTCGTCCAAATTTTTGAATCAATTACTTTGTATACTTGGTTTGGCAGATAAACATTCCACTTTCTGATTGATTGATTTGTAGTCCAAGGAAAAATGTCAGCTCTCCCATCATACTCATTTCGAACTCACTCTGCATGAGATTTGAAACATCCTTGCACAAAAGAAGATTAGTACTACCAAATATGATATCATTTACATAGATTTGAATAATGAGATTACCTTCAGTAGATCTCTTGATAAATAAAGTAGTATCCACCTTACCTCTGGTGAACCCATGATTAGTTAAAAAAGAACTCAATCTTTCATACCAAGCTCGAAGAGCATGTTTGAGTCCATAAAGAGCTTTAGCTAGCTTGTACACATAATAAGGAAATTGTGAGTTTCAAAACTAGGAAGTTGTTTTACATATACCTCCTCATCAATAAAACTGTTTAGAAAATCACTTTTGGCATCCATTTGAAATAGTTTAAAACCTTTGAAAGATGTATAGGCAAGCAATATACAAATTGATTCTAACTGTGCTACTGGTGCAAAGGTTTCATCATAGTCGACTCCTTCCTGCCGTGAGTAGCCTTGAGCTACTAGTCTGGCTTTGTTTCTTACTACCTTTCCTTCTTCATTTAGCTTGTTTAGAAATACCCATTTTGTTACGACTACAGTAGCGTTTGTAGGCTTAGGAACTAATTCCCAAACTTGGTTTTTGTCTAATTGATCAAGTTTGTCCTGCATGGCTTGTATACAGCTGGAGTCCTTTAGGGCTTCATCAACTTTCTTTGGTTCTACTGGAGAGATGAGTGCAATATTTGCTTTCTTTTTGAGAGACCTTATGGTTTTCATCCCTTCGCTTGGATCCCCAATGATGAAGTTTTTAGGATATTCAGGCTCATTTTTCCATTCATTCGGTCAGGTTTCAACTGTTGAAGTAGTCGACTCTTTTTGTGGTTCAGCAGGAGTGATCACAGGTTCATTAGTTGACTCCGTGACTATAGCTGGGATATCAGTCGACTTCTGTAGTTTATTTGTCTGTGATACTTCTTGGTTGGTGTCTTCATCACTTATAATGATTCCTTTCTTGGCCATAGAGTTATTTTCATCGAATATAACATGCATTGATTCTTCTACAAATAATGTATGTTTGTTGTAAACTCTAAATGATCTACTGTCAATAGAGTAACCAAAAAAAATACCTTCATCACTCCTTGGGTCAAATTTTCCAAGGTTCTCCTTACCATTATTGTGAATGAAACACTTACTTTCGAACGAGTGAAAGTAGCCAATATTTGACTTCTTACCTTTTCATAATTCATATGGAGTCTTCTTCAAAATAGGTCTTATGAGGCACCTGTTGAGAATATGATATGATGTACTTACTGCTTCTGCCCAGAAGTGATTTGGCAGTGAATATTCTAATATCAATGTTCTTGCCATATCTTGTTAAGTTTTATTCTTGCGTTCAACTACACCATTTTGTTTAGGTGATCTTGGGGATGAGAAGTTATGTGTATACCCTTGATCACTACAGAATTCTTCAAAGGATCTGCTTTCAAACTCTCCTCCATGATCGCTTTGGATGGTTGTGATCAGATCCTCTTTTTCTCTTTCAATTATTTTGCAAAAAATCTCAAAACTCTTTAGACCTTCATCTTTATGAGATAAGAAAATTACCCATGTAAAACATGAGTAGTCATCAACAATAAAAAAAAGCATAAAGTTTACCTCCAATGTTGGCAGTTCTAGTAGGTCCAAACACACTCATATGAAGTAATTGCAATGGCTTGGTAGTGGACACAGTATCCTTAGTTTGTTTACCAATCTGACATGCATCACATACATGATTTCTAGAAAAGTTGAGTTTGGGAAGACTAATAACTAAATCATGCTTGGACAGTTTTTCAATAAGATGCATGCTTGCATGATCAAGTTTTTTATGCCAAAGTCATGGATCGTCAAAAATGGATGCTAGAAAAATGTGACTATCTAGATTTTCAATGACATCAAGAATATAGACATTTCCATACCTTTTTACTGGAAGAATAATTTTACCTGTTTCATCCTCAATGGCACATCCTGTTTTCTTGAATTTTACTTCATATCCAGAATCACATAGCTGACTTATGCTCAAAAGATTGTAGTTGAGTCCATCTACAAGATATACCTCTATGATATCACAATTATTTCCGAATGGAACAGTACCGGTACCAACTATCTTTCCTTTTGAATCATCATTAAATTTGACATTTCCACCATTTATTTTTGTGACTTCTTTGAACAGATTTTTGTCACCTGTCATGTGACTAGAACACGCATTGTCTAAACACCATTTTCCTTTGCAGCTTTTTTTGTGGTGTTCCTGCAAAATAGAATTGTCACCTTCTTTCTTGTTGGTTAGTTCTACTAGGATCAGGATTATTTTTGGGTTTCCAAATCCATCCTAAAATATTAGATTTACGAAATCGACAAAAGGAATATTTGTGTCCAATTTTGCTACAGTAATGACACATAGGGGTTGATCTAGTTTTTGATCTACCACCTGTGTTAGTACCTATGGACTCAGCTCTAGCCAGTCTTTTTTCAGTTGACTTGAAAGTCATCTGGTTAGACTTGACTGAAGTATGACTGGTGGATTTGCGCATGTCATTTAGTTGCATTTGCAATTCCTGAACTTCATCTTGAAGTACATCTCTTTCGATTTCACAGACTTCAAGCTTAAGTTCCCAATATTTCTTTTTCCGATTGAGTCTCCTTAATTCATTCAATATTTTTTGAGACTCTTTTAGAGTAAGGTCAAGAATGTCATGTAATTCATTACATCTATCACATTTATAAGATCTTACCTCGTGCCATGAAACAGTTTTCAGTATTTTTCTTGCATTCATCGTCTGATATATTTTCATCAGTCCAGCAGCCAGAGTAGTTGTTCATGTCATTTTCCAGGATGGTCATGAAGCATAGATTTGCCATTTCTTCGTGTTCTGAACTATCTTCATCACTCCAACTTCCGAAGGATTTGTTTTTGTTAAACCCTCTAGAGTCTTTTCTTTTAAGATCTGGGCATTCAACTTGAACATCCCCATACCTTCCACACTCATAACACTTTCCATCATTCCTGTTTTGTTCATTGTATTGCCTAGTTCGCCTAGATGGCATCCTTTCTCTTCTTGTATTTCTATACCTTCTCATTAACCTATCCATGTTTCTTGATACCATAGCAATTTCTTCTTCAAGGGCTTCTGGATCATCATCAATATCATTTTCAGGTCCTTCAGTTGTAGATTTGAAGGCAACAGTTTTCTTCTTTTCTTCCTGACTTGTCTACTTGAGATGGGTTTTCTCGAATGCTATAAGATCTCCTTTAAGTTTATCATATGAAAGTTTGTTTAGATCTTGAGATTCGAGTGCAACTACTTTTATCTGCCAAGTGATAGGTAAACTCCTTAGGATTTTTCGAACTTGATCACCACTTGAATAGGGTTTACCAAAAGCTTTCAGATCGCTAATGATTTTGCTGAATCTTGCGAACATTTCTTCGATGGATTCTCCTTCTTTCATCTGGAAGAGTTCATAGTCATGAACCAACATGTTTATCCAATTTTTTTCACTTTGCTGGTTCCATAGGTGACCTCCAATTTGTCCCATATTTCTTTAGTCGTATCACGACTGAAAATCTTCTCATACTCTTCTCCACCTATAGTGTTATACAACAGGTTCTGTGCCTTAGCATTAACCTGAACGACCGTCATTTGTTCGTCTGTGTATTCATCTATATCTTCAGGATCAGTAGGTGGTTGAGCTTCTTCTGGTAGTGGATAGTTTCCCTTTTTATAACACTTCTCAAAACCTTTCACATCATAAGATTTTGCATAGATTTTCATTCGCACTTTCTAGTGAGTTGTCCATTGAAGTATAATGGTCTGACTTGTGACGTCCCCTCTTGAAAGAGTGATCCAATGGTTATTTGATTGGCCGTGATCTTTTCTCACAAGCGGTTAAGCAAAAGTGTGAGACCTGCTCTGATACCAATTGAAAGTGCAAGAGGGGGTGAATTGTAATTTTTCTTTTCCTTTTCGAGGTAGTTGACTAGTTTGAGTTCTAGTCGACTAGACTTATCATGAATAGAATGTAAAAGATAAATTGCAAAAAGTAAATGACACAGTATGTTTTTATATTGGTTTGGATTCAGAGTGAATCCTACGTCCAGTCCCCTTGGGTTGCAAGGGTGATCGCTTTCAAGTATGAAGTGACTTAGTACAGATGAGTTGATGTTGTTATATACCAACAGCTTATGTCACTCGTTCTTCTCTCTATAATTGATACAATGCCTCACCGGTGTTCTTTTCTCTCTCTCTCTCCTCTTCTTTGTTACACAAGGAATCTAAAGCAGACTACAGTATTTTGTTTGAAGTAGAACAAAGAGATTGAAGTTGGGTTGATCAAAGTATATCATTCCAAAGCTAGTGCAGTAGGTATTTATACTTCTCGAGGCCTTCAAGTAGTGTATATCTTTTTGAGAGATTGCGAATCCAAGGGAGTTGTATTCAGAAGGATTCGAAGATTGATTCTTTCCGAGATTGATTCTTCTGCTGACTTGTCTTGACTCACGGGATTGAGTGATTTTTTCCTTAAATGAGAGAGTATTCTCGTTGCCAAATCCCTTGATTGATGCCTTCGATTGACGTCATTATGTGGGAGAATCTTTAGCGGATCATTTCGTGCTCGAAATCTCCTTTGATTTAGATCCTTCCTATAATAACTCTTTTAATTGATTTTGCTATCTTCTTTGATTGATTTGTCCGCTTATCTTTCCTTTTTTGTTGGATTCATTTCCTCATTTTATTGCTCAGAAACTTTTCCTGCACATAAGGAGTAATTGGTTATTTTGCATCATTGAAATTTAATGAGATCTAACAGATGGTAGTTTAATACAAAGTGCTTACTGATACATTCTTCAGATAAACATATTCTTAATTATTTAATTTTACTTTTTTAAAATTTCAGAAGAGAATGCGAAAAGTAGTTAAACCTATCGGAACGGTTGCTTTTGCAACGACTATATAACCGTTGCTATTGCAATCTATTGCGACGGATTTAACCGTTGCATTAGGATGGGGACACGCTTTTGCAATTAAACCGTTGCATTAGCGTGATAACCGTTGCACCATAGCAATAGATATATCTGTAGGGACGGCTGACTGGAAAAATTATCTATTGTGACGGTTCCTAATTTTCCTACCCTAGGTTTTCCCTTTTTTAATTTCTCCAATTCAAAGACCACTCTCCAATTTCTCATACAACTCATACAGGTCACAAGAGAGACGCTCACCATAACTCATAGAAGAACTCCGTGAAGATACAATATGAAATTTATTCAACGATGCTGCAGGAAGAGACCGAAAACGCAGAACTAAGATCTCTCTTGGAAGACATCAAGGTCTAAGAACGCACCACAACTTTTCTCTACTTGTTTCTCCCCTTTTTAGTTAGTTTAATTAGCTAAATCTTGCTCTTCGATGGTGAGGTTTTCTGAAATTTTAGGGTTCTTGGTTTGTTAGCGTGTGTGCGTGCTTTATTTTTGGGGGTTTCGAAGATTTGGGGTTTCTTTATGCAATGCAGGATTTTGATTTTAGGGTTCTTGGTTTAGCTTTTTTATTTTCGTTCTTGCCACATTCTCAAAACCTTTTAAATTCTATCATCTCATTCATGTATTACAGGTAGAATATGCTTCAGGACCTTGAAAAGCAAAAACCCTCTGCTTTAAGACTGGTAAGAGCATCACCAAGACAAGAGTTTGTTCAACTGATTAATGAACTCGTTAAGGGTTCATAAGAGTTTCTCAATTTGAGCATCCTGTTTTTGACAAGATTATTAAGGTAAGTGTTGAATTTTTTTGCCGTCTTAAATAGAAAATAGTTCAAATGTTGAGATAGTAACTTTGAAAATATTGAACTGAATCTCATAGAGTGGATCGCATGGTGCTTTTGTAGTGCTAGTTTAATGAGCATTTTAGCTTAATGGGAAATAATGTAGAAAGCATGTCATTTTAAAGACAAAAGAGGTCACATAGCACAAAATGTTGATAAAATTTTCAATCCTCTTACTGCACTCTCCCTTAATCCAGATAAAGTAATCTGGCAAATTAGTTTCTTGAAGTGAACCCATATCCTAAAGCATAAATGGTTATCAATGTCCTAAAGCATAAAAAGTTATCAAACAGCAAGGCATCTCAGTTGCATTTTACCACAGGGCTTTTTGCTGCGTTTCATACCATTCTCATTCACTTGTGTTATTATCTCTAATTTTTCTTTTGAGCAATTTTAAGGTTCTAATATCATATTCGTAGATAACTATGTGAATTTTAAATGAGTTGTTATCAGCATATTTCTATAGAACCTGTCTAGTTGTACAGCTTTGCACTCATGTGCCATGTGCCTGGATTTCAAGTCTTCTTTTGATGCTAGTTTCAATTTGCTTGTTGATACTGCAATACTATTGTATTATCTTGTTAAAGGTTAAAACGTTCTTCCTGTTCTAATATTGTGATAAGAAAGTATTAGGTCTAATATCTAGCAATTAATAGTTGAAACTAATTGTTGGATATTAATGTGCGAAGTTGGTATATATCTGAAGGTTAAATACTTATATACATGTCATTTGTTGGTTAAGTCTCGAATGATGTAGATATGTTCGTTTGGAGTTCAATAACCAGTTTTCTTAAAGACATGTAAAGGGCGAACAAGATGGTTAGCTGCATTCTCGAAGATGTTCTTTTACTTTTGAGCTGCAATTTGCGGCTTTAAGTTGCTATGTAAGTTCTATCTTAAAGCTCCATGAACGAGCTGGTGTGATGTTGTTTTGCACTATTTTAAGCTGGTTCCAGAGGCGTTTTACAGTTGCCTTTCAATTGAATAAGCGAGCCTATGTTAACCAAGTCTACAAGAGCAAAAGTTGGTCGCAGCCTGAGAAAAGGTATTGGTGTTTATTGGATTCTAATGCATCCTACAACTAAATATCTCATCCGCCTTTTGTGAAATTTCTATTTAATTTGGAGTATTTATATGCTTGAACTTTTTCCTATCTACACATTAACAATAGGAGATAACATCAAATGGCTGTAATCACCCCAACACTAGGATAATCTGATTAATAAGTCAGCATTGGCCGGTGGGAGTCGAAGGTAGCAAGTTTCTTTAAGAACAAAGAAACAGAAAATAAATGAAGATTTCAGAGTCATGTTTAAAGGTTTGATGATCCCTTCATTTTCAACATGGAACTTAAGTTGCTTAGAAGAATATAGAAATGCTTTAATTTTTGCATTTCCTGTGCATGATGTTTGTATGCATCTCTCAGTTTATGTGTCATAGAAGAGAAGTTTATATTTCCATTTCCTTCAATTCCACTATCATTTAACCATCTGCAGACATCATCGAACTCCAAATCATCCAAGGAAAGATCAGTAAAATATATATATATATATATATAAAAAAAAGAGAGAGATGTGAAGTTTGAGAAGTAAATTCCATAGGATTCTTGATTCTTGGAGTTAAATGAATAATAAGGAGGACCATACTTTTGTTCAATTTTTTGTGATCAGAATATGGATTGTTTCTCTGAAAGAGGTTTCATCCTAAAGCTGATAGTTAGAAACAACAGACGGCTAGAATTGTTCATATCTTGTAGTTAGCAATTCTTAAATATGTTCTCAATTACTCCCTCCGTTTCAATTTATGTGAACTCATTTGACTGGGCACGGAATTTAAGAAAAGAGAGAAGACTTTTGAACTTGTGGTGTAAAATGAGGCACATATATTTTGTGTGGCTATAAATCATTGTATAAAGGTAAATTGTTTCCAAATAAGGAAAGAGGTCATTCTTTTAGGCATGGACTAAAAAAGAAATAGGTTCACATAAATTGAAACGGAGGGAGTATAATTTAACCTTATATGAAATAATTATTTAATCATTAGTGGATGGAGAGATGTAAATCTCCTGAAGTGGTAATGATAATTATGAGGCAAAAGATATAATCCTAGATTTTAGTAAAAGCTACGGAGCAGTACTCTTGGTCAAAGGAAGGCACCAGATAACTACAAATATTATTTTCTGTTTTTTATTAGATAAATTTAAATCAAAACGTATCTACTAAATGTATACTAAGACAGAGTATAACGTAAATATATGAGATTTCCTTTCATTCTTCTCGTAAATTCAATTGTTACCATAAATTTCTTGATTTGAATCTTCTTCTAGGATAGTGGTGCACATTCTGTAGAACATTTAAGCTATTTTTTCTTTAATATACATTTTACCTTACTAAGTAATATGTAATATGTAATATGGAGAAGATCTTAATATTTTTCTGCCTGCTTAATGTACATTCTGCCTAATGATGTATTTTTACAGTAATATTTTTGCATATATGTTGAGAATATATTCTTCTGTTAAAAAATTATTAAATTATTTATTTGTCATCTTTTGTAGGTGAAGCAAATGAATGAAGGATAGACGAAAGCATTGAAGAATTTTCTTAGGAGTATTGGTTGATCATTATTAGACCTTCAAATGTTATAGGAATTCTTTATTCTCGAACTTCTTGCTATAGGAATTCTTTATTCTCGAACTTCTTGCTAACTTGTGTATGCTAACTCTTTAAATAACATTGTATACTTTGTTGTTTTTATATAGTTAATACTAGTTGGAGATTTGAGGTTCTGATTTTAATTGATGAATAATTTCCTTTCATGATTTATATAAAAATTTAATATATTTTATTACACAGGTAAATTACTTATAACCAAATAGAAGAATAAATATTAGATTCCACAAAACCGTTGCAATAGCTTCCATAAACTGTGGCAACAGCCTTCCAAAATCGTTATAATAGCCTCAATAAACTGTTGCAATAACTCCTTATAACCGTTGTGATATATAACTTGTACCATTGCTAGAGCATTACAAACCGTTGCAAATAGCTAAAAATCTGTGGCATAAAATGTTATTGCAACGGTTTGCAACTGTTCCATTAGGCTACATAACTGTTGCAATAGATAAGCCTATGGAAGCGGTGCAAAAACCGTTGCAGTAGATACGCTTATTGCAACGGTTGCACAACCGTTGCAATCGACCATCGACCTAATGGAACGGTGCTCGAATCGTTGCAATAGGCCTATGGTTTGGTGACCGTTGCCTCAGGCCTATTTTCTAGTAGTGATCGAGGCAAAGTATAGACTGAGACTGATAAAAGGAAATAAGGAAATTATGTGTATGATCAAGCTAGGGAGATTGGGGTAAGTGTTGAGCGCATTAGTTTATCTTTGATTAAATAGTCTTGAAGTGCTTGGTTTGTTGTTTTGATTAAGTAGAAGTGCATACTTTATTCTACAATTGACTGTGGTTAAACGGTTGGTTGTTGATTGTTGTGGTTAAGCTGGGTTTTTTTTTATAAAAGCCAACCACCCAGGTTTTCATCTCCTGTGGTATTGGGGGGTTTGGCTAGACCCCTACCTTGTCTATTATATAAACAAAAAATACAACCGAGGGGGACATAAAACCTTACCTCTTGGATACCTTTCCTACCATGAGAGAGGAAGAGTCTATGGGCAAAAATACTTGTTAGACCATTTCCTCTAACTATCCACAGAATTAACTTACAAAAAAATTTGATTTTTCATATCTAATTCTAAAAGAAGGAACCTGCCACATATCCATGAAGAAAGGTCCCTTGGTCGCCCTTGGAAATTGTCGGAAATCAGTGTAAATGATGCATTCAGTGGATGTGGTGGCCTCCTTAGCGAACCAATATGCCACCTGATTTGCTTCACGAAAGCAATGGTTGATAGATCCATTGTTCTTTTCCAGAATATCAATGAGGTCCTCATCCCCTTTTCTAAGAATGTTATTGTCCAGTCTTTTGTTTTGCAACATGTCCCAGATCACCATTGAATCAATTTCCGCCATGAAGTTAGTAATTCCTTTGTTTTTGCACCATTCACAACCAAATTTGATGGCCTTCAGTTCTGCCCCACTGCTGCTACTACAGTAAATAGGAATCGAGAAGGCCATGATAAAACCTCCTTCCTCATTTCTCGGAATTCCTTCGATCCCAGCTTTCCCATTGTGCATGTTAAAGCTTCCGTCTGTATTCAACTTCAATTTACCATGAGGAGGCATCTCCCATAGCACACTTTTCCATATTGGAATAGGTTTCAGACGCTCAATCATCTCACAGTTTTTATACCAAAGATTATGAGTCATAAGAGAGAGATATTTCTTGTTAATCACAGCATTAGTATTCCAGATGATCTACGACTTTATCTTGTACTGGACAAATTTCTTTTCATCTCCAAACTTGCAAGAAGTATAGCTTCTCCACAATTCCCAGTAGATAGTAATATGGAGGATGTGTAGAGTCATCTTATGGACTATATTCTTTGGTTTCCTCTGCCACCATTGGGTGAGAACAATGCTAATAGAACCAGAGTGATGCTGGATTCTCAGAGGATTTTCAAAGAATTTCCATAAGTCCCTAGCAGCCTCACTATCAATGAAAACATGATGTAAGCTTTCACATTGTAGAGTATTACAGCAATTGCACCTTGAAGTTTGTTGATTGCCAAACTTCCTAATGGTGTCATCAAATGGGAGTTTTTTCTGAATCATCCTCCAAACAAGGAAGGACATTTTGAAGGGGATACAATCATGCCAAACTTTGCCCACCAATGGGAGATTAAAGAGTTTCTCATAATGTTTGATAGCAACTTTCGTAATCTTTTCTTCACTTCTAACCCAATTCTCTTTTTGATTTTTGATTCTGTGAATCTGAATCTTCTTTCTCCTTTCCCTTATAACACTATGAAAGTATTTTATGTTACAATCACCTTCTTCGAACCATTGAATCTGTGAGTTTTGTTTTAGCAAAGACTCTTGCATTGCTTGCCATTTAATATACTCTGCCTGGCCTTTGTTGAGGTTCTCCCCACTCACCTCTGTATTACTCACTTGGTCTAACTCTTCTAAGGCTTCCACTTCTGTTTCCCACTAGATCACCTGGTCATACACATTACCAATACTTTTTCTGGACCATTGCGATAGTTTGTTACTAAGAATTTTCAGCTTTTAATGAAGCCTCCACATGGGGTTGCCCTGAACATGAGTGTCCCATACTTCTTTAACCAACTCATAAATATCTGGATACTTAGTCCAGAAGTTAAAAAATCTGAAATAACTTATCTTAGTCATTTGGTTGTCCTGACATTTGAACAATATAGGTCTATGGTCGGAGCCCGACCTGTTAAGATGTTTGACAGTGCAATTCTGAAAAAGTTGAGCCCAAGTGTCGTTGATGAAGATTCTATCAAGTCTCTTCCAAACTCTTTTCCTTGGTCTCTAATTATTACACAATGTATATCTAGGGCCAATAAATCCAAGGTCTGCCACCTCACAGTGGTCCATACGGTTGGAGAAGTCGAAACTTCTAGCCATTCTATGAGGATTGCCCCCAACTTTTTATCTAGATCCATGATAACATTGAAATCACCACCAATACACCATGGGCCATTGATGACTGAATGTGTATCTTCAAGACTGGTCCATAATTCTTTTCTCTCACTAGCTGTACATTTAGCATAGACAACTATTATGTTGAGCTCCATATCTTGTAAAGCATGATTGAGTTTAATAGTCATTTATTGTTCCTCATTGGCAATGATAACAGTTTTATAGTTCTGTTTCCAGAAACACCAAATCTGCCTGTTTGTGTTAGCCTGACAGTGCTGTTAGCCCAAGTATCTCATGTATCCTTCAATCTTATTCTTGTTGATGAAAGGTTCCATGATGGCTACAAAGTATATGTTGTTGATATGATAGATTTTTCAACCTAGGTAAGGCCTTCTTAGACCTCACTCCCCTTATATTCCATATGATTGCACTAACCATGGAATATAGGAAAGAGTGGATCAACTTTGACTCCTTCCCCTGGAGGAAGGATGTTTTTTTTCTTTGTTTTTTCCAGTTTTCATGTTTCTGCTTCTGCTTCTTTTAACATGAGAGATTCTCTGTTTGTTAGATATCTCTTTTAAGTGAGCTTCAGCCGGGTCGTCAGGTTGTTTGTTGAAAGTTTCTGCACTGTTGATTGAAAGAGACATACTAGAATTCCCAGCTCCTTCCTCAATAGTCCTGCTATTGTCTTGCATTCTCTTCTCCTCAATGTTGTATCCACCAAGGTCCACCACAACTTGAATTCCAGGATGCTTTTTAATTTCTAATGGCAAGGACTCTGACAGTGTATTAGAGACGCCTTGATTGTTATTTGGTTCCCTCATATTGACACTCTCTGAGTCTTGATAGACATCATAGAGTCGGTTCCAATCTTTTCTTTTTCAAGTTGTTGGTCTCCTTCTTTCCTGTTGTAATTGATATCCTCAGCTTCAATAGGATTGCTTTCATACACCTTTTCTACATTATCAGAACTAACTTTAGAGGTCACTTTCTGATTATTCTCAATATTCATCATATTGTTGTTCTTCATCACCCATAATTCCTTAAGACTATCTTCAATGACAGTATTCAAAGCTATTGTTTTACCTCCAGTAACAGTCTTGGGCATGTTTTTCTTGTTCTTTTTCACCGAGGGCTTGAACATCACATAACTTTTCTTTTTTGGCATCATTTTCTTCTTTTTCTTTCTATCATCTTTCTTATTCTTAACAGGAGCAATGTCTTCTTTTTTCTTCTGATCTTCAATGCTGATTGGGGCTTGTGGCATGTTATTTTCTTGTACTCTATCCTTCCTCATCTCATCCTTTTGTCCATTGTCATTTTTGTTCGCAATCTGTTTCCCTTCTGTAATTTTGTTTAGTTTCTTTTTTCTGTTCTTTTAGTATTTGGAACTTGCCAATTCTCCTCTTCATTGCCTTCATCTTTTTTTAATTCCGACTTGTCTTTGATCTCCTCACTTTTTTTCCCTCTACTGCATTCCCCTGTTTCATTCTTTTTTCTTTCGCTCTCCTCTTATTTCTTTTTTTCAACTACCCAGCAGTTAATCAGGGAATGTCCTAGTTTTCTGCAGTGTTTACAGTATTTAGGGACATTTTCCCATTCAATCTTTTGAACATAACCATTTAGAGGAGTGTTCTCATCTTCAGCTCCCACATAGACTGAAGTATGTAGGGGTTTAAGCAGATCGACCTTCACTCGAACCTTGGCCATACTTGGTCTTGTTTTGGATCTTGTAGCAATATCCAACTCTAGAGGTGTTCCTGCAGGTCCAATGACTTGTTTGGCATATTGCTAAGTGTGCATGTGGAATGAAAGTTCAGGTAACAATGCCCAAACAGTAGCAATCGGCAAATCCTCATCCTGTTTAAAATTTGGAGTCCATTTTTGTATCCACATTTGAGTGCCTCCGATTTCCACCACCCTTTTGAACTTTATCAAATCAAAATCTTCATCATTTGTAAAATCCAAGAATACATTGTAGTTGTCATAGACCCCAATTTTGACTGTGCCTTTTAGAGCAATTTTCTCGGAGAATTGAGCCCTAATTTTATCAATTTGGGGCCTGATTTTCAGAAATCTTCCATCCAGAGTACGTTTGCATTCTTCCGCCATCACTCCATAGTAGTCTTTAGCTTTGAAAATTACCGTCGGCATCCTATTGTGGGTGGTTCTTGTAATTACCGCTTCTTGTTCTTGTCGACTTAGGGTCGGAGCAG